GTCTGATGCGAGCTTTAATGATACGCGAGAGGCGAAAATGTCCCTCCAATGTTGTGGAAATTTAACTCTTCGGTCCTCCTTTTTCCCGAGGAATTTCAAATATGTACTGCCGTGTTGTTACTTGCAGAAAAATAAGCCGAACTCACCAGGGATGCTGATACGTACGTGTACGCTTAGGTACATTCAGTTTTTTTTTTTCTTTTTTTCTCCCTTCTAATTCAAACAAACGTCGACAGAAGTACAGCGGTCAGTGCTGTGAATAAACGTTCGCCGCGAAATTCTATTAGGAAGAAAGAAATCTAATCGCATAATTGGCATATTTGCGTAACTTAATCCTTATCGGACGCTAGCTTTTTATGCGTGATTCTCACTAGGTTGTAGCTGGTTTCGGTAAATATGCGACTTGTCACCTCCTACGTGACGTACGACCGCAGCGACGAAGTACTGTTGTTACATGAGAGGTGACTTACGACCGATATAAGTTAAAGTTCGAAAATTAAATCATTCTCTTGTGATTTTAACGGATTCGTCTCTAAAGAAGCTAAACATTGCCAATACGAAATCGCAGCTTTAAATATTTATTCGTTATATTTGAATTGGCAAGACTATTTGAATTCTGATCCTGTGCCTCGGTCCTTTCGACCAGAATGAATCGCCTAGGGACCGACCCGGGAATCTGTGCGCGAAAAGAAACACTCAGGGGGAGGGGAATCCTGCGTACGATCAGAAGCAGGATCTCGCTCGGGCTCGCCGCACGACACGACGACGGCGATCGTATACGTCGGCGGCGATTGTAAAGTAGCGAAAAACAGTGACGTAGCCGCGCAGTAAAAAGCCCGAAGGAAAGGGGGGGAGCGCACCGGTGGAAAAGGCCTCGAGACGTGAGAGACTCCCGCCATCAGCGGCGGCGATAAAAACGATTTTCGCGTGCCGATCTACGCGCGTTCGCGCGCGGTTTTGCGTCACCGGCTGTAAAACACGCGCGCGTCACGTAAATCCGCGCGTCGCGGATCGACTGAAATAGATAGCAAGCAAGCGCGCGCGCGCGCGAATCGGAAATGTGGGAGCGAAATTCCAACTAAGGCGTGAACGACCTGTCAAATGACCCGCGGGGGCGGCTCGCGTGAGCGTATCACTTCCGATTAACGCGGTAGAAATTTTCTCATGTGCGACTAACTCGAAAATCGATACGGCGCCGCGGGTGACGCGCGGGTGTTTTCCCGGATGCGTGGCCGTGCGTCCTGTTCCGCGTAAAAGGCGAGACACGCACTCTCTCGTCCTCTCGCGTGGCAGCGAAGAATACCAATGGCGTAGCACGGTGCTTCTCATATTTTTCCTGCCGGGCTTCCTTTCCACCGTCTATCGCCGGCGTATCTCGGTGAGGATCCGCGAACGATATCGCTCCGGTGAAACCGAAAGAGACGATTGCGATGCGATATTTTATCAGAAACGGCCGAAAGGGGCTGTCAAGGTTGAAAATTACGGGAGGAAGAATAACAGCCGGGAAGCCGATGCAAAGGTAAGCGGTTTAACATTAAGACGGATATTAATAGCTAAGAGTGCACGCCGCAAATTTACGCGCGAATTACACAATTTTCTTTATAATGCGAACACTTTTCTTGATAAACGCATTCAAACTCGATCTTCGTCCCGATTTATGACGATTGCCAGCCGATCTCATTAACATGCGTGTTATTCTTTTCTCCACGTAATAAGCGCAATTTTTGAAACTTGATCATTTGCACTGAAGCTGGTACAAAAATAATGGGAACTGAAACGTTCGCATAAACCGCACTGATGGAAAATTACATAGTTGTTTTCGGCAGCAAACCTACCTTTTTGGGGGTTTTAACCGCTAAAATAGCAGCAATTAAACGTTATTTATTACAGTGGCAATAATCTTACGTGCATATTGCCGCTACTCTCATGTTTGGCGCCGAAAATAACTATGATTTTCCATCAGTACGGTGGTGTTTACTTTCAGCAGTCTGCCAACGTCCGCCGTAATATTAAATTACTTGACCTTTATATCGGCTTTCCGGCTCTTATTTGCCTTCTCCGTTCGATATTTGATCAATTATGTCTCCCTGCTTTACTCTCTCCTTCTTTCTCTTTCGCCGAAAAATAACGACGACAGCCGGAGCCGCGACTTTTCATACCGAAAAAACGCTTCCGCCATCTGCTCAACAACGATAACTAATGAAAATCAAGTCGAGATAACAAAGGACACAGTATTCGCTGGGAACTAGCTTCGTAAGCGACCATATATCGAGCGTGTTGCGCGGAGGCTCCGCGGATTCCGAAACCCTTTCAACCGAGCTCTCGAACGTCGATCGAAGCGTCCTTTTGCTCCTTCGTAGATCTCGCTCTCGGATCGTCCGGGTCTTTGAGCAGCATCGAACGAATCCATCAGGCGAACTACGCCTTAGCGCGCGTTTGAAAGTGCAAACGTCGATCTCCGGCTGGTCGATCGATTATATCATACTGACGGCGCGCTGATTGGAACGGGAGCCGGTGAATCCTCGAAAAGGAACGATCGCGATCCTCGATCGAGCCCCCCCCTCCCCGCTCTTACCTGCGACCTCGCGAAGCGCCGTGCTATCGCGCGTGGCGAGCTTATTGACTTGAAAATAAAAGAAAGCTATCTCGTTTCGTCAAGTGGTCGGCGAATTACTCAGCGTTGAAGCGCGCTAGAAATATGCCCGCGTCGAATGCTCGGCATTCGCGCATTACGCGCGAATCCGACACCTCACGCGATACCGCGTGACTCCTCGCCGTCCGGATCGAACTCTGACCGGAGGAATTAATATCTCACGCGAGACCGTTAGAGCAGTAACCCGCGAAAGGGTCGACATACGTGCCACGGAAATTCGAGATCTTCCGCGGAGGAGCGGAGGAGAGACACGCGGGGCGAAATCAAACGTACTATTTCGCGGATTACCCTCGCCTCGTCCACGTTCCGCGTCGCATTCGTACTCCAAACGCGACGCACAGGCGTGAGTGAATAAAATGAAAAGAATTATGTGCAAATCGCAACATCGCTCCTATGGGATTTGTAGATGAATTTCTCGGAAAAAAAGAGGAAAGAATGCCGAAATCGTGCGTCAGCGCACGACTTTGACCCGTATTATCAACCGTTACTTGGAACTTGTCTCAAATGAGGTACGTCTGAATTTAGAATTAGATGTTTTTTTTTTCATAGAATCACAACAGAAATAACATCGAATTAGGTAGAAACACGAATGCTTCGAAACGTATCTAACTGTGGACATTCTTGTTGTTTTGGTCTTTAAATATATATATTTAATCATTAAAGATGATATATGCGCAATATATATATATATATGTATTCTATGTTGAAAGTTTGAATATATTCGTATTTAAAAGCCGAAATAACGAGAATGTGCAGAATTTAATTTATTACCTTGTATCTGTTTTTGTTTAATATTCTGAGAGGCCTGGTTGAACGCCCAGAGTTACTGGAATTACTTTCATTTAATATTCCCGTTAGACTCCTTAGAAAGTGCTCACCTTTCCATACTGAGATACATCATATTCTTTATGATAGATTTAATCCAATTAATCTTCTTATGCTTGATTGCAAATTAGTCCATTTGTATAATCGACTTTTGTTACATGTCATTGTCCTCATTTATAGAGCGACTATTATGAAAAACGTTTAATACGCATTCATTTCATTTTAAATCGTAGACTTTACAACGTAATATCCTTCTTTCTCCCGTCTCTCTTCTTATTATGTTCTAAATTACTGCTTTATCAAAGGGATTCTTCCCGTGTAAATAAACATAAATAAAATAGGTAATAATAATGCCATAATGAATGTAAAATAATAAAAATAAAATATAAAATAAGCAAAAATACCGTGATAAATATAAATAACAATAATAATATCATACGTATGATTCAGCCGAAAAGCTCCGATCTAACTATAAATTCAAATCCGAACATCTCACAGGAGGCAAGCTTCAAGTAAGGGCTTTCAACACGAGCTTAGACTATCACGCGATAACATACGTGACATTATATTCGCAACGACGATTCCATCGGAAAGACTAACAGCAAACTCTGACCTCCGAGCGAAGTACCTCAGGCAATAGTCTCAAGACTATTCACAGAGTTCTCTGACGAGGCTTTCGGAGGAACGAGCTCTTTGTTCGAGACTTCTGCTCTATCCGTACGACCCCCGGTCGATTACCGAAATCGAGCGCGACTTTCGAGCGGGGAGACTTTCGTACGCCTGCAACGTCGGCAGGCGCGAAGGTCAACGAGTTTCCTACGTGGGCAAGGAACGCCTATGGCGCGCCGGCCGCAGCGGCGGCGCGCGCGCGCTTACTCACGCTCTCAAAATTGCTACCGGGGCCGTCCTGCGGTAACGCGCGCTCTTCCTCCCCCGTCCGCGCGGTTAATGAGCGCGTCTTTCTCGCTGACAGTCGTCGACCTCGTCGCCGTATTCACCTCGGCGAGCCGCCGAGCGGAGCGGCTCCACGCACCGTGTCGGCAACTCTCGCCCGACCTCGATTCCGTGCCCCGACGCGGCGTTGAGATCATCGCACCGTTTAGACGTGACAACGGGAAGATCAAAGCACCTTCGCGAGAAGAGATCCCCGAGGAAGCGGTGTTAGAGCCAGGTAGCCCGACCGCGCTCGGCTCGTCGGATCGCGCGTCGAATCGCGAAACGAATCGATCGGTCCCTTCCTGCATCCCGTCGTGGAAGCGGTGCGTGCGCGAAGCGAATCTCCTGCCCTCTTAGCGGTACCCGATACCACCGCGTACGGAGTTCACCGGTCACACCTGGAGGAAGCCCTTCTCCCTATCCCTCTCTCGATCGATGTATCCAGGGTCATGGTACAGTTCCCCGCGACGTTCGTTCGTGATTACACAACGTTGATACTCGCCTCGTCCAGCCGTGTCCGGTGAGGTCCGTTTCATCCGGAGAACGGTAATAACACGCGGCTTTTCCCGCTGTCTTTCTCGCCTACCTCGTCCTCCGGGTCGCCGTTGCGTGCGTGCGTGCCTGCGTGCAAGGCCTGCGGGGCCCGAGGGGGGTGCGCGAGCGAGGGCGGATACGCTCCTGCCGGGACTTCGCGCGCGCAGGTAAATATCGTCTAGCGCGATCGCGCGGCTACGACTGAGTCCGTTCTCCTGAGAGAGCGTTTCACCTGCGACGACGGAGCCCCCCTCGGCGGCCTCGGCGCGACGCGCGAACTAAACCCGCCGTTCCTCCGCGTCCTCCTCGTCCTCCGTCGCCTCCTCCTGTTCGCTGCTCTCCTCCGCGCGGCTTTTTCCTCTCCCACTCGCGAGAGCGCGGAGCCTTCGCGCGTCCTTACCTGTGTCCTGCGCCTATTCGGCCACCCACCTATACGCGCGGATCTCGCGAATCGGTCCATTCGCCCGCTTCACGGATCGTAGCAGGCGGACCAGACGATTATGGGATGGATCGCACCGTCAGGTAGCTGACCGAACCCTCGCTTCCTTGTCATTTTTTTACTTATTCTTCTGGTACCAGCTGGCTCGTCACTCGGAGAGACGTTCTTCGCGATCGATTCTCGCAACTTGTGCGGACGATCCGAAAATAACACGAGTTTTCTCTTTCTTTATTCAACGTCCGTTCGCAACACCTGAATTAGCAGATCGGCTGAGTTAACCCCTTCGATCTCGTTGAGTCGCGTGTGTTCTACAGTAAGTTCCGAACTTTATTTCGTGTTAGCGTTGTCAACATATATATGAAATTTCTCTGAAATAAACCAAAAGGAAAGGAATAAATATGATAAATAATCGAAGCCGAAAGAAGTAAACGTCAGGAGTAAACTTTGTTAGTCGCGCTTCTCTCTCTCTCTCTCTCTATTTTTTAATTTTTCATTAGAATCTTAATTTTTCCTCATATGCTTAGTTTCTAATATGTAGCATTTAATTTTAATTTCTTCACCATTTATTATCATAATGTTTTCTCTGCGTCTCTGTTACATCACACTACTTTTAATTCATACGGATTTCTTCAGACTTCTGCTTTCTCATTTGCCTCGTTTTTATTCGTCGCTAAAATCAAAATACTGCGGCTTAATATTTGTTTGTAATTCAATTCCTTTCCTTGCGTAATTACGAAATATATTTAAATAACCATATATAACTATGTATAATCGCGCGGGCGGAAGACTCAGACATCCGGCAACCAATTATTATGTATTATTGCTGTATACTCTAAGGGGTCTTAGAAACCCCAGGGTTAAATATACAAGGTGCATCTAAACTCTATCGACAAGCTTACAAGACAGATTCTATGTTGGAAAATAAATAAAAAGGTCTTAATAAAAATATAAGCTTGGTTTTTGAGATACAGCTTTTTCGCGATTAATTCTCACAACTTCTCGCAACCTTCAGAACATGACGACGATGAAAGGAAATGTGTCGCAATAAATAGGTTAAGAATGCTAATATGATACTTTTTTTATCTGTTTTGAAAGTAAACACCTATGGACTGACATTTCTGAATATTAATCGAAAAATCATTCATTATAACGTTGTTATATTATTACTGTTTATCGCGAGTGAAATTACAAATGATTTCCCCGCGACACCGTGGACGCTTGTAAATGTCAGTTTTGCATTGATAAGTGAGGTAAACATTTTGAACAATTCTTCTAACAGTCTGTTATTTTTCTAGACAGTGTCTAATTGTTGCTTATTTGTAAAACACGATTTAAAGAATAAAATATATTTCTTTCAGCTAAGATTACGGCAGTTATATCTCAGAAACTAAGCATCTGAGGACATATTTACCAAGACCTTTTACTTATTTTTTCATGTAAAATGTATCCTGTAACTTTGTTGGCAGAGTTCAAATACAACTTGTATACTCCACCCCATATCTCTCTCTCTCTCTCTCTTTCCTTATTTCTCCATAGTAAAGAACCGGGGTATCTATTTAATGCCATTCAGCAAAACGACCGGATCGGCCGTCGATCCAGGTGAACGGATCAACCCTCAGAGCGGCACACCTGTGCCCAAGAGCCGCGGGCTCGATGGGGGACGCGAAGGGTGGGGAGCGATTTCTCAAAGGGGATCGAGCGTGGCACGATAAAGCGCGATAGGCATTTAACGAGTACTTTTGACACACCGACGGCTTCCCGCGACTGACGTCCGTTACTCTTCGCGAGGTGGGCCTCGATGTCCTCGGGCGACGCCCGTCTCCCAACTCCCACAACGCGCCCGGCTAGAACCGCTATTCGTTTTCGCCGAACGATTATTTCTCTCACGGAGGAGAGAGAGAGAGAGGGAGAAATCTCCTCTCTCTTCCCATTACTCTCTATTCGCGGCCATACGATTACTCTTCTCCGGCCATCTCCGAAGGACGCGAGAGCTCTTTCACGGCTCACGCAAACGCGTTTCACCGCCGCTCGCAAATTCACGCTCGGCTCGGACGCGACTCGAGCCCGTGACGAGAGAGAGAGAGAGAGAGAGAGAGAGATTCCCGCCCCCGCGTTTCCAAGTTAATTATTAACACGCGACTCTCTCGGCCGATGGCGTTGCCTTGAAGAGCGAACACGCGGTTGCGTTCCCGCATTTCCCGTTATAACGAATATTTGAGATAATTAAGAAAAATCCAACGCGACGATTTGCAGAAATCGAAGAGAGTTGAGCACAATCGTGAGTCGAAAAATGAATCTGGTGAAAGAAAAAGCCGCGGTTTCAGCGACTCAGCGTTCTTTTCCCGATTATTACAATTACTCTTTCAGAGTTTTTCCTCTAGAACGTCGCGATCAAGCCAAGGTTGGGGGAGGGGGAGAAAGGAGGCTCTCTTTATCGTTTGATTGCGTCTGTCCCTTTGATCATCTCTCCTGCCTCGCCCCTCGTCGAAAAGACAGGACGATCCGCGGCGGATCGGTGAACCGGAGGAGCGAGAGACAGACGACGAGCGGAGATTTCGCGGTGTCGGAGATAAGGGAGCGCGAGTGATCCGGCGGGTGAGGAGAGAGAAGGAGAACGCGAGAAGGAGACGAGATGGAGAAAGAGAGAGCGGGGGCGTGGGCGCCCAAGGCCTTCTGCTCGCCATTTACGGCCCGGCCGTAGCCGGACACGGAAGACTCGCGGGGCGAGGGAGAGCGTGACGAGGAGTCCGCGATGCAGAGTGAGAGAAGACAATGACGACGACGAGAAGGAGAGGCGAGGAGGGAGAAGGAGAAAGATCAAAGGGGGCGAGAGAGAAATGTATACCGTCGGGCCATTTTGGTCGCGTTGCAAACTGGAAAGACCGCTCGAAACTCCATCAGCGAAACGCGTCCACCATTGGCGGGGACGGGCTTCGTCGGCGTCTTACGCCGCCCTGGCTCGTTGACGGCCGCGAGAGTCATCGGTTGATCGTGCGATGTCCCATCCGACAAGTTTCTCCAGCGCCCGGCGAAGTCCTCTCGGCGAACGACGAGCCACCGGCACGGTCGGATGACACGCGGGAATAATTGAATTTCGCGGTGATCCCGCACGCGAAACAGCTCCGTCGGCATTTCGCCGATTCTGTCCGGCCGGGTAGCGAATGAGAAGGTGTCGTCGCGCTCGTGATTTCGCATGGGATTTCGTAATGGATCGTCGTAGTTTTATAACCGAGATGATCGATCGAGGGAACCGAGATAACGTTGACTGCCACGTTGATTCCCATCGGTTATTTCATCGCCCGACTAAAATCTAAGTGGCCAGAGATAATAATATCAGTAATAATACAAAGATGATAGAGATAATAATAGGATAATAATATAGATATGATGAATAAATGCAATTTGTGCGATGTACAGGGTTGTTCTATAAGTTCGTGCAGATTTTTACGAAAAACTCTAAGCTGATGCTCTTAGTCGGGCACAAATTTATTCTTTATTTATTTGTTTTCTTTTTTCGAAACAGTCGATACATTATTGAATAAAGTTAGAAGCAATTATGAAAGTGTCGGCTTTAGAACCTACGCAAAAATCGTACGAACTTATCGAACAACCCAATATATATATATATATATATATATATATAGACGTTAACTCATTTCATTTCCTTAATTCTCTGCAACGAGATAATAATAATAATAATTTTATTGAGCTATACTATCAGCGATGTATTCAATTTATTGCACGCATCAAGGAAGGAGGAAGCGATATTACATTATAACATTAACGAGATGCGATAATTAGTTTGTTTTTTAACTGAACTGGCTATACTAGTTCGAGAAATTTACACACTGAAGAAAATGAAATGGGAATCTCGTACGTACGCTTCGTACGCTTCCAATGTATATCGATTTCTTGAACTAGCGCAGCCAGTTCAGCTAAAAGGAATAGATCGACGTTACAACGCCGGTCATTGGTAACCATAACTGCAGTTAACGTATCAATAATCAAAGTAATGCATGTGATCAGCCGTTTATCACCGTTCGAGAGACTTTCAGCAATTCCGATAACCCGACGTGTACGTCACGTAGCGACGCATCGTTCCGCACGGTCATCCTTACGTAACGGAAACAATGATTATGCAGCGTGACTCGCCGCGATCCTCTCCGAAATGCGACCCCGATAATGACGGCCGCCACGCTCGAAACGTTACTCTATCCGTGTGTCGAATATTGACGGAAGGTACGAACGATGCGACGCGATACGATGCGGTAATCGCTGAATCGCCGTTTTCCTTTTCCTTCCTTCCCTTTCTTTTTCTCTCTCTTTCTCTCCCCGTCGTAATTCGTCGCTACTTTCCAATCCCACGAGAAATCCCGCGAAGCGACTTTCACGATTCCGCTACCGCGAGCGAAACACGATCCGCGGACACCTGGCGTGTTCTCTTACACGCGCCTTTTCCGAGCGCGTTCGTCACGGTGTACCGGCTCGTACGGTTGTTTTCGCACCGCCGCCGCCGCCGCATTTTCCGCCCAAAGTCGCTTTTACGCCGCGATTCGAATCGCCGAGTCGACGGCATTACGTAACCCTCCGTCGCTCCGAACGTCGAGTCGCGTAATGACCTTTCACTTTCGTACACGACGTCCTTGGGCCAATTAACGGCCCAATATTCGGAGCGCAGTCGCACAATTACGCCGAATATTCGGTGCGATCGGACGTAACGTCGAGTATCGATCTCGAGCTTCGGCGTTTGTCGTAACTAACGACGTGCGCATCGCATAAAGTACGATGCACCGTCCAATACCGGCCGAATACTTATGTTAAATAATTTCATGCGCGAGTTGGGAATTTTCAAAATCTGTCAGACCGTCGAACTTTCTCTCTCGATATNGGGGGGGGGGGGGAGCAAGAGACAGTATCCGATATTTCGATTAATAAGGGGATCACAGAAAGATTTGTACTTGCGCGAAAAGTCGGTAAAATTTAACTCGTTACAAGCGTAAGAATTAATTGAGTATAAAATCTTATTTTGGGCTGTTTGTGCTATGAATTAATTATACAAATATGCTCGTGAAATTAAAAAATATTAACATACAAAGATGCTGCAGTTTAATCCATTCCGCTACGTCGCGCGGAGCTGTGGTTTTGCAATGATTGCGAGTGATCTAATTAAAATTTTCAATTTTCGACAAACAGCATTGTGTTTCTAAAGTTTTCCTCTATAGAATTAATTGGAAGAAAAAAAATTCAGTAAATATTAACAAAATAGCAATAAAAACGAAAACTTGCTAAACAAATTCTTTTTACTGCAATAATTTTGAAATAAATAACATTTCTTGACCGGAGTTTAGTTAATTCTGTAGAAAATTTAATGCTCTTTAAATTAAAAAGAAAAAGCATCTTGATATCTTCGTTCGTTCTTGAGTTGTCGCTGTAAAATCGTGAAAAAAACCTAGTTTTAAGTAAAATGCGTTTAAACTTTTGTTTCTATTTTTAGAGTGATGTATGTTTATTGCAGCACTTAACAATTACCTGGGCTATAAAATTAAGTTTCACGTTTAACTTTTCGCTGTCAGCTATAGCAGCTGCTTGCCTTTTCTGACCTTTTTCGTCGCGGAGTACGCCGATCTCCGCTCTCTTGAGGTGGTTCTCGTCGATCGTTTTGCACATTTCAATGACACGAAGTCCACCTTGTATTGATAAGCCGCTCATTAAATTAAGATATCGCGTTTTTCCATCGTTAAATATTGCCACATCGACATATATAGCGAACTCTCATTAGCATTTTGACTGTAATAAGCGGAACATTTAAATAACAAGCCATCCTCGGACAGGGGGACAAAAATCTTGATGAAAAACATAGTGAAGTGCCGTATTTATGCTAACATGACTGCAACCTAAACTAATGCCATCCTTTCTTGATTTATTTCCTATTAATTACGCGTCGCGGGCTTCAGATCGTCCGTACGCCCGTTCACATTTTTGCACAATCTTGCGAATTGTTCGATTTAGCAAGCGAGAAAGCATCCCCGAAGAATCACGTTTTCCGAAAATGCGGGAAACTAAAAATCGACTTTTTCCGAAATTGCAAACCTGCCTATCCTCCTTGATTTCTCTTTAACAAACAGGCGAGTTTACTTGGTTGCGTGTTTGAAGAAAGAAAACGCGTTGGAGCGTCGAAATACCTCGAGCTTGCGAGCGGAATTCGACGGAGCGGGGAAAAAGTGTACTTCGGAGGTTCGGCGAGACGGAGGAAGACAGTGCGCGCGCGCTGGACTTCTCGCCTGGTATCGCCCGCGGCCGTACACCGTTTTGCGATGTCCGGAGCGAACTCTTTGGCAGAGAAGGGCAACGGACCGGTTGGTCCTCTCCTGGCCGTCGTATCTCCGAATATGGCAACACGCACCGGCGCATCCCGTACAGGCGGGAGACGGGCGCGTGCTCCCTCCTTCGAGCGTACGACGCGCGCTCGAATATTCAAAGTCGTTCCGAAATCGCAAAAAGTATAGAAAACCGAATGCACGCGAACCTGATCACGTAGGAAATGGACGAAGGAAACGTGCTTTCTCCGCTGATAAACGAACGTGCAAACGAAACGACTTACTTACCTGAAATCTCGATCGCACGCGCAGCGAGAGACACGACGACGGTGATCTTACGTTATAAAAGCAACATTCTCCCCTCTTGACACTCTAATTTTTTAGTCTTTTTTTTTTCCAACAAGGTAAAAAAGGTAAAGGCAAAAAGGTAAAGAAGGACTTCTTGCTTCAGTGTACGGTAAATCGACTTACCTTAACAGGAGTAGGGAATGAAATTACGCAAGCCATAACTTGGCGCATCGATAATCGGTATCGATAATATTGCGAGGAAGAACGACTCTCTCGGGTCTCGAGGTAACGCACCTTTATTCTTGACTCTATCTCCGTGCTATCTCGAGCAGGATACAGCAAAATCGATCGTGTCGATCGGTGGCAGTGTGTCCGTCGTCGGACCGACGGATTCAGATTCGCGATTCGACAAATAACGGCGGAGACGTAAAGAAGTATAATGTGACTAGGGACGTTACCGTTACGTTCTCTCGCTCGGATGAATCTTCGCGAATGCGAATCGTGTAGGAGAATCCCTCCGCTAAGGGCGGAGATCCGAAGCTCTCGTCAAAAAGGACGACTCTCCTAATAGATATACCGATATTACCGGCTTTGAATACACCTATCGCCGGTACATAATGATCTCTTTATGCGATTATTTCCACCCTTCGTGGCTCGCTTACCTAGTACTTACGTTTACGTAACACGGCACGATCAAAGTGTTAAAATAGACCGAAACAATAATAGGCAGCAGCATCCGTCCAGCATCTACGGACGCTCCTGACGGGCGCTAAACGCTAAACTTACAAAGACCTGAGAGAGCGCATCGGGGCGCGGGATCACTTCTCGCCGCCTCGGCGACACCTTCGTCGTTGGAATAACAAGAGAGGGAAGAAAAATATCTCAAGGTCGGTTGCGTAATTCACGTCACGCGAAGAAAAAGAGAGAAATTCGCGAGCCGTCCGGCGGACAAACGTGTCCGCGTTCGGGAAGAAATCGGTCATCCCGCTCGATCCGCTTCGGTCGGCCGGTGACTCTCAAGCGGGTCTTTTAGTCCACGTTCGGCTGGCACACTGAAGCCCGGCTCTTCATTTTCTATTTAACTCGCGGTCCGAACCTCAACTGAGAATGCAAGAATCGTTTTACTATTCGCGGTTAATCGTTAAACTGACGATTTTGCAGTGGTGACTTTTCAAGTTTGACGATTAACCAGGAATGAGGAAAACAATTTTTGCATTATCGTGAGATTGAGCCTAAACTACAAGTCAACCGGAAAATGAGAAATCGGGCCTGAGAGAAAAAATATCTAGGAAATAAAAATTACTTATTTAATACTAATAACATATTTATTTGTATCATGAGATACATATTTTTACACTGAGATAAATTTCTTTTCGAAGGAAAGAATTTCGCTTATTTTGTACTTAAAGGAATTCAGATTTAAATAAATATGTTGTTAGCACCGAGTAAATATTGTTTATTCTTTAGATAATTTTTCTTCCAGTGCACACCGTTCGTTCCGGGCCACTTTTCCCACATAGACCATCTTGTATCTCTTTTTATATATAATTGTGTAAAACAGACTCAGTGTACGGATAAAAATGATCGCTGCGACACACATCGATGTCTAAGAAGTGGCGCCTCGTACACACAAAATCAGGAATTTTCCGGAGGAGCGAGAAACTGCTTTGAAAATCCGCTTCGCTCGAAACGATCGAATCGTCCTTGCATCCTTCAGCTTTCTATGATTTCGAGTAAAAACATAAGAATTCAGCTTCGCTGAAAATATCAATTGTCAACAAATGGGGAAAGAGAAGTCTGAGTTTACTGAACTGAGGAATCCGAAAATAGTTGTTTTTGCAGCTACAAGGTCTCTCACTTCGTAGCTATCGATATGTGGGGCTCTTCGTGAGGGATCGGGCTCCGTCACACACACACGCGCGCGCGCATGTCCGCTAGTAGCGGACGTGTTTGCCGCGAAGTCACCGGGACGACGAGAACGAAGTGGAACCCGCGCGACGATACCCTCGACGTCTGATACTTTCGCTATCTGTTCGCGAAGCTGTCTTTTGGCGACGCGAGAGCAACACGAAGGCGCGTAACGATCGGCCGGTGTGCGATATTCGTTCGACGACCCGCGCCGCCGTTTCTGAAGTGTCTTTTAACGAGTCTCGCTATCTTAGGGGGGTAACGCGTCCGCTGCCTCGCGCCCGGAGAGCGTAACAACGCCAACGGGATGATAGTCTCTTCTTGGTCCCTCGCGTCGTCGTGAACGTCGCCGTAGCTCTCGCTCGTTCGCTCGAACGTCTCTGTCTTTTCGTTCGCGGCTTCTTCGCGGCCGCCCGAGAGAGCGATCGGGGATCGAAACCGGTATCATTTCGACGAGTTCAGCCGGCCGCGCTTGCCGCTTCACGCTTTCGGTCGTCGCGTTCTCATTGTCAACGAGAGTCGCACGCGCCGGAGATGCAAAATACCGTGATTTTCCCTCGGGAACACGCGAGATTCGTGGACGCGCGACGGTCCTCCTATTCGACCGATGAGAGCCTGCCTTCCGCAAATGCCGTTGTCTACAAAACCGAGAAATTTCACCGAAATTTTATCGAAATTTTACATAAATCTATACGTAAAATTGACATAAGCTTCACGGTGAAACTTGTATAAAATTGACATTTCGCGAAGTCAAGAACGCATCGACGGGTGTCTCATGTGTCGTCCGCTCCGGGCTCGCGCGTGCGCGTCGTCAAAGTTACATCGGCAAATTCGTTCACTCGTACGGGAAAGAGAGAACGCCAATCTCGGAGGATCCCGAATGACCAGCGCGTTTCTCCCTCCCCCCCCCCTCTTTCACTCTTTCTTTGACATCTCACCGCGAAGACGGGGGGTGGGGGACGCGTCTCCGATATCTCCGGGCGCTATCGTCGCATCGCTGCGAGCTCGATAAGCAACAGCCGGCGGAAAGGAGGATAGACGCGTCTCTTCGCGAGACCGGATCCGCGGATCCTTGAAGAAGACCCGTCGGCCCTTCCGCCGCCGCTTCTTCTTCTCCGGCCGCGATCGCACGTCCCGCGTCTCCGGATGCGTCGACGACCGCGGGACGACGGGCAGGACCGCGGCAGCGAATCGAACGTGCCGACCCTCCGAGGCAACCTGCAACAATAATAATCGTCCGACTCATGGCGCGCGGTGAAGCGATTGCGTAGATCGCATCGGACACGCTCAATTGATCTATGGACGTCGCACGGCGGGACACGCGTCTCCGGGCTGCTTAGTTATGGCAGGTGAAATAGTACGAGCGCGCGTGCACTAAGCACGTGCCCGGCGCGCATCTCGTTCTCCCGCGGCCCCGCGTAAATCGCTGCGAAATGCCTGCCATTATCATTACTCGCTGATACTCGTCGGACGCGCGCCGTTTGTCGGACGCACGCCGCCTCCCGTAGAATTTATTCGCGGGGAAATCGCGACCGCGTGAAATCGCACCTTTCGGCCGCAGGAGAGGCCGAGGTAGGTGCGCACGGAATTATCAGAATTTCGGTACCGCGCTTTTCCCGACGATTACACCCGGCTAGACCCACGCCAATTTCGCAGCATATCTGTGGGTTGTGCTGCGTCACGTACCGTGTTGGATTCCTTACGAATCATTCATATTTGTCACCTATAATATAATGTCGAAATAGAAGTACGAAAGAATGATTACGATGCATTTGAAATTGAAAAATTTAATTTAATTATTAATTCAATTGAAAGGAAATTCAATTAAAATTGGATTTTAAACGTTTGAAATGATAAAAGTTAATTAAATTAAAATTAAGCGGTTGCAATTCATCAATTAAACGCTTAATTATAAACAACTGATTGATTACAATTAAAGTTCATTTGTTACAATTTATTCCAAACAATATATCGTGTAAAATGTAATACGAGAATCTAGGAATAATTTTTTGTAAAATTTGCTGCCGCGCCAGTATGACAAAAAATAATCGATTGTCTCACACCGTGACGATCGTAAATGTCTATCTGGGTTGCGAATTGTTACGATTAACTGTGCAGAAATAGTCGAGACAACCTTCCCCTATTTTCTTATGCAAGAAACGATTCTGTCAACTGTATATATTTTTTTTTTGCTGTATATTTTTCTGTTTATTTTTTTCCGCAACAATCACGAGCCTCGATTCGCATCGTCTTGACGCGATCACAGCTGCTCGCGTGATCGGAGTGAATTTCTTACTCGTGTAACTTCGAGATAATTAACGTTTCACGCGCTGCATTCGCGACTCGATCGGAACCGTTTACATTATCACGCTCGCCTTGGAATCAATCGATCGCTGCTCGCGGATACCTTTCTTTCCTCACGGCGACCTTACGCGACTTTGCGCACCGAGCCGTGCGAAATTTGCATTTCTGCGAGGCGGAGCGCGCCGTGCAAGTCGCGCCGTAAGTGATCTCGCGATTTAGCGTTTAGCGTCTCGCGGCTCAGCGTCGGCGGTATCGGTGTAAATCGGCTTAAAGGTCGATGGATGCGCGCGTTATCCGGCGCGCGCGCATACATCTCGTGGGCGATCGACGATCCTTTAAGAATTCAATGCGCCTCCGAATACCAGTGTCATAAAGAGCGAGTTATTCAACGATCACCACAACGCAAACACACACACAGACACATTTACGCTCACATACGAACCAACACACGCCACCCACGCGAACGAAAGAGGCTGAGGAAAGACGCTCACCTCGATCAGGCTTCTTGAAGCTCGCCCTTCACTCCTGGTACGCCGTGGTGATGCCTTGAGGCGAGCTTGTTCGCCAATTCGTGCATCACGTCCCTGTAGATGACGGTGTCCAAATTTTCGCCCAGCATGTACAAGAGAAACCAATCACCCACCTTGCTGCGACGCACTATCGTCTCGACGGCGTCCCGCCGCACCAGACGGAATCGCATTCGCAGCAGGTAGACCCTCGTGCGCGGTGAGAAGATTATCAGTATCTGCGGGCAGACGGATATAGGCTCGCACGTGTACACTCGGGGAAGCCGCCTGCCGATCGTTATTGTTCATTACACTCTCACGAGACGCGTTTTAAATTTATATTAAATGAATCAACCGAATGGCACACAATCAAGAACGTTTCAGGCATAGCCGTTTTAAGAACGCGACTGAAAAAAGTGACAATTGTTTAAGCTTGAAAATAGCATTTGTCACATTTGACATTATAAATGTGCCAGTTTAATTAATATCGAATGTGACTATTGCGAAAATTAAAAACAACATTTATGTAAAAGTAATTAAGATCATATGTTGGAATAAATTTATTGGTCTCGATTCATTGACATTTTCAATTTGTGAGCAAATAACACACGACGAATGAGTTATTTCGACGTAAAATTTCGGATGGACTTTCTGGGAATGTGTAAAAAGTGTTAAAATTAACATTTTATTTTTCACTGTGTATATAGTCCTTCTCTACGGTAGAATTTTATCCGCATTTCCCAACAACGACTTGGCTCGTATTCGAGCTCTTTTGTTCATTTCTCGGTTCTTCGATTAGAAGCGTGCGGAGATCGTTGTTAAATTTTTTGGTCTTCTCTCAGAAACTGCTCTCACTCACACGGAGCGAAAATATCGCTTTATCGACCGAAAAATCGAAAAGTCCCGTGAAGCATGCCTCGTTGAGTTAAGATGCTGATTACGCGAGGGAAATTCTTCTATTCTCTCATCCGTCTTTTTCTCCGTGTTTTTCTCCTTACGATATTCTCAATATTTATGAGACTCTCACATCGCACGGGATTACTAACCCTATACAAAACCGTAAAGAAACTGAGCACGCCGAGGAAGAGGAACCAGAACCAGAGGAAAACATAGATCTTCTCGTTCACGACGTTCAGAGGCAATATACAGACGGCGTCGTGCCTCTCGACCTCCCCGCTGACGCCGTACTTGTAGAAAGTGCACTTGGTCATTCGTGGGAAGACGTAAATCATCGGGTCCACTCGGTCCTCCTGATCGGATTCGAGGAACCTGAGCACGTCGATGCCGAAGGTCAAGAAGGCGCCGTCGAAGAAGCGGTTCATCAGAAACATCTGACCTGCGACAATGTATGCGTCGCTTTACAATCCTCCCTTTCTCTCTCATCTTCTCTCTTCCACAAAGCTATTATTTCATTCGTCCGTTTCGCTTTAACGCGCCGCAATTATCTTTTCATGATATATTAGCCGTGTAAATTAATTCGGCGCCTTTGTTACCAAACATCAAGATTTATTTATCAATGGAAGGTGTACAATTTTAATTATCGAAATCGTTTTCGTTATTATATCTGATGACTTTATGTTATCTATCGGCCTGCTGTCGAATTCCATCGCGATTGAAACTTGGTGATTTTTCGGTGGCAGCTCTTTAAATCGATAATCGAGCTGAAAAATATTTCGATTTAAAACGCTCATTATATAGAAATGAATCAAACCAACGGCACCGAGTTAATTTATAATATGTACGAACTTACCTAATATGTGCGAACATATAAAACGAAATAAAGAATTCTTATTGAATGATTTTATTAAGCATTTACAATCAAAATAAATGCGATAGATTTCTTTCACCAGCATGATCGAAAAGCTCGAAATATCAAAAATCTCCGGAGAGATAACGCCCGTATCTTTTTATTTACTTTCTAGCATATAGCAAACGCCAAGGGCGGATATCGCAATTATTCTTCAGGACATTGTTCGGAGAAAATATTGAATTGTATCCTCGCGTTCAATTAAGCCACGGGTTTCCCCGCCCCATAATATTTTATTTGTTCTCGTGCCGCGTCTGAACGATCGCGCCTCTTTGGTGCTACTCGCCTGCGCGTGAATAGTCGCGGCGCCCGTGTGATTCGGGCACAATAGGCATCGCGTAAAATTGACGAGCCATCGCATAGCCAATCAAGCAGTCGAGCTCGCGAGCGGTGATGGCCAGCTGTATCGCTGCCAACTTTTACCGTGAATCGTTCATTCACTCGGATGCTCATTATACCGGCGTCTTCCTTTTCTCGCGATGCGTGTAAGAGCGCTTACACTCGCGAACGCGAACGAGCCGTCATGCTGTACTTCCAAACCAATTCATTCGAGCCACACGCGAATACGACGGCCCAACGACTCGTTCACGGCTTTTATTTCAGAAACCCGACACACACGTAAATCCTCACCGAAGATTCGGTTTCACCACAGTTTTATCACGGTTTGAACATTTTTCCTCGATGCAGCGTGGAACGCATGGTGGATGAGAAAACTTGTTTTTTTCATTAATTCCCAGAAACGTACGACTTTCGCGATACGTTTTAACGACACGCTAAACTCGTTTTTCACTTTTATATTGTTTAATAACTTCTTTCGACAATATATTTGTTCACGTGTGCACGGAGAAAAAATTAGTTTTAAATTATAGATAGATATTCATACAAGTAAGAATATTATAATCTTCTTAGAAGATTTTTAGCCTTGATTTGATTGAATTTATATTGTTGCAAATATTACACTCAATTCAAGGCTAAAAATCTTCTAAGAATATTATATTCTTATTTATATATGAGAATATCTATCGTTGATTTATATAAGACTATTTTTTTCTATGTGGACATCAGACTCTCACTTGACTGTTTCTTGACATTTTGTATTCGTGACTGTACATCACTAGAGTCTTAATTTTTATTTAATTCCCAGAAGTTAAATTATCTCATTGGATCATCAGCTGCATACCAAACTACGTCGAGAAAAGTGTTCAAAATATTAAAATTATCAAATATATTTACCGGTTTAAAGTTTCGAAAAAAAAGAAACTTTTTTTCCTCATTTTTCCGCGAATTTACAGTTTCTCTCCCAAAGGTACAAAAATTCGTTTAGAAAAACTCACGTGTGTTCGGTTGAAATCCGCCACATTCGCTTTTTTTTCCATAGAGAGAAATTAAGAAACTAAAAAATCCGCGAGAAATTCGAATAAAACAGGTTCTTCCGAAACTTTAAAACTATAAAAATATTGAAGACAGATGTACGCATTACCGGACGTCGACTCGCTTTCTCGACTTGGCCGACCGAGACAAACGCATTCACCCTCGTAATTTATTATCATAATCCGAAGAGCGACGTGACGTATCTCGTAATCGCAAGTCGGCGACAAGAAGCCGGCCCGTGACCGATCGTTTCAGCCGTGATTACCGTAAATTTCTCAGTTTCAAGCGCAATATAAACACGGCACACGTGCTCGACTGCGTGTCGAGGGGCAAAACACCTTAAAAATATGTTCCCCGTACGCGTAACTGGCTTGTGTTTATCGATCGTAAACGAAGGGAACGCGTGGAAATGTTTGCCGGCTAACGGGTCCCGGCGAATTCCGGAATTCGTCCGGGTCGGTTATGGCACCGCGAAACTCGATGCCGTAACGTGCGATCGAGAAAGTCAAACATTGACTAAGGACTTCGCGCGCGCGCGTTGCCGGCCCCCGAAAGGAAGAGTGGACTACTCACCGACCACATTCAGCAGCGCGAGCACTTCGCATAGGTAGTACCTGTAAGCCCACCAATTGTGAAAGCGAAGGTTCTCCCAGAGGTAGTCGAGCAGCATCTTCTTCTTTTGCTTTTTCTCCACCTCGGAGCACAGCCCGATGTCGAGATCCATCATGAGGGCATGAATCTTGCCACCCTCCCAGCCTTTCCACAGCCATCTCGGCGTGTAAAAAAGGATCGCCTGCGAGCAGACAGAGAGAGAAAGAGAGAGAGAGACAAAGAGAAAGAAAGAAAAGGAGAGGGAGGAGGAGAAATAGAGAGAGCCTCGAGTGAATAAATAGCGACGAATCAGCCAATAGCTGATATATTACGGAGAGTTCTGGTAGGCGGACCTACTTACGTGTAATACATAACCGACGCGCCGATAGTACGAAACGAGTTATCATTATTGGATACCCCGCGCCCGATAACTGCTGATTAAGACAATGCGGCCGCCGGCCGGCGCTCACGCGTACTCGCGTGCGCGCGCGTTCACGTTGCGGAGCGAGTTCTACTTTATGAATTTTTAATGGAAAAATTACCGGCTACGCCTCCTCTCGTTCGTCGAAGGAGAAGAGGGAGGGATGCCGAGCGTTTAATGCGCGCGGCTTTAATTATTTCGAATCGCTGCTCCTTTATCGCGGCGCGCGGCGTTGCGCAAAATTGCGCTCCGTTATTTTGTGTAATTGTTAAAGTGGATGGGCGGTTTCTTGAATTATCGCTATCCTATTTCGCGTTGGGACCCTCGCCGCGTAATCCGGATTGCTTGAATAAGCTCGAAGCGGAGCTTCGTGATTCCCTCCTTGCTGATGGGGCGGCAACCGCCTGTAATTGGGTTATACTTATGTATCCGCAACGTTTCCCTCTCTTCCTATTGCCTTGTGCAAATATCACGTGCTTTATTTTCGTTATTACGTTATTTGCGTGCCTTACATACCGTTAACTGTTACCTCAACCTCTTCAGGGATGTTGGTTCAGTTCCAGTTTTTCTTCTCAATTCGAACACATCGTCGACACGATCATAACGAACATTACTCGAGTCGAAATTTTGATGCTACTCTGACGCTCTTAGATAGTTTGCGCGTACTTAGATTAAGTCTATAGACTAATAAAAGCTTACTTTGAAGATAATGACACTTTTTAACTTCCCCATTGAATCTTTAATTCTACAGATTGAATTGTAATGCCACCTTCGACGACATATTTTGACGCTAAAACAGCGAGCCCCGAAATTTAAGGCACTATCAAGTAAGTAGGGATAATAATATGTCATCAGAATTAAAATTGAATATTATTTAATTATCTTAGCTTCTATTATATTGTAGAATTAAAGGTTTAATATACGACCAAAATTTCAATTCGGGTGTGAGGAAACATTCATCGCAGAGTTTCACGAGAGAAAAAGAAATCCTGCGACACGATTGAAGGATGTCGTATTAATGGCACTTTAAAATGAAATTATTTCCCACCGATTTTAATAGATGCACCCCCCTGCGGGGGTTAACTGCGCCCAGGGGAGCGTATTCCGCGGGCAATCGACGGTCGAATCTTAATGTCATAATTTGAATATCATAACCCCGTCGCGGGTTTTATGTGTCCCGGCTGTCATTAGAATTTCATTAGGCTACGTTAACCGTGATTACGCCGCTCCGCTTCTCGTTCTGGAGCGCGTTATAAGCACTCCAGCGCACGTCGCAACGTCGGCCGTCACGTCGTCGGCGAGAATAAACGTGCAGTTAATTGAATCGCGCGCGCGCGCGACATTATCCCATATTAGAATTTCCGATGCGATGTCAATGCACTTATCGGGAGCACGCGGATGCGGGAGTAAATCCTTTCTCACGGTATATAAAGCTTTCTGGCTTATCGCCAGGGACCTCGGGTCGTGCTTACCGTAGTACCGTAGATCGAATATAGATACGTGCCGCTCGTCGCTCCTCGACGACGACGATGACGACGAGTTGGCGGGCGTTCAGAAAATCCGAGCTAAATTGCAATTTACGGAAGGTGACAGAGACACGGATGATTGTTAACGAGAGCGAGCGGTACGTGCCGGCCGCGTAAAGTGTGTCGGGACATCGGCCGATTTTCCGGCGTGCATTCTGCCAACGAGTCGCATCATTTCCACGCGTCGGCAGACAATGTACTCCCGAAATTGCTCGGGATGAAATCTCACTCTCCGGAGGAGTGAACATTCACTCGGAACGATAAAAGTACCGTCATCCGGAGTCACGTGAATTGTTCGACTGACCGGGCGAATTGGTTTCATGCCCGTTTCTATCATCACTGTATTGAAGTCTGATCGACGATTAGCTCGGCAGAATTGTTTAGTCGCACTGATCAATTCGGCTAATTGGCCGACGCGATTCTTCAATTCCATTGAGTTAATCGCCGAGTAGATTTAAGCTATGATAAGAGGAACGAGCATCGGTAAGGGAGAGTCAGTGAGCGCATCAGTGCGCCGGAGCGCACAAACCAAAGTAACCATAATGCGTGTAATTATAATTGTAAGTTAAGGTGCGTTAAGATCATTATGCTAATTTATATAGATCAGATCAGGTCCATGCAAATTTCGAATTAAAAGTCAATTTACACGAGTGGAAAGTCGCTCGAAAGTGACTCGGCTGTCACTCGACTTTTCGAATGGACTTTTCACTGGGAACAATTTCGATAGAGCAGACATCGCACTATACAGTAAAAAATTTGGTGTTAAAATCTGCCTGCTGGAAATTTTTCTATTACTTCGACACGGGGAATACGTTAAGAAGCACACAAATATATGTTAAATTGCTCTGTGATATATTAAACATAATCATCTCGTTGAACATATTACTTTTTAACATATTCACCTTGCTAGAGTAACGCGAAAATTTCAGTGGTCCGTTTTTAACGCGAAACACTTTTTACTGCGTATCCTCGGGAGATACGGGCGCGCGGAATAATAAAAATTCACATTCACTACAAATTTACGTTGTATATTATTACGTCAGGAAACGATCAAACGAAGGGAAGGGCGGGAGAGAACGCAGGGAAAATTGCATCATTCGATAGCTTGAACGTACATGGTTTGCGTATCAACGATGGGATTCCTGGGAGCTTCGGCCCGACCTCGCTCTTGACGAGATCACGAAGAAACGTAAAACAAACGGGCGCTCGCTCGTCGAGTCGATCGTAAGACGATTCACAGCTTTTAGCATTATCGCGCGAGAAGTACGACGTCTGAGGCGCCTAAAGAGAAGAGGGAAAATGTGTGACCGAAAATAGATCTGTTTCTCGCCTCTCTTTCTCTCTCTTTCTATATCCTACGCTGCCACCTCCGGCTCCGAGGATCGAACGCGATCACATTCGCGCTGACCCCGCGGCTGGAGAAGCGTTTATATCATCTTTTCAATATTCAAGCTCGTTGATTTACATAAGTCCCTTTAGATATGCAAATACACTCGGACACTCGCAGCCGATCGTCCGTCCGTCCGTCTCTGCGATATTTGCTCCGCAAACAAAATACGTTAAAATAAAGCAACCTCGACGTCAATTAAACTCCACGCGTTCTACGCGGAGTGTCATCGGCGACGACGCAGCTGTGAGCTGCGTGTCATACAAGCGAGTTTGCCTGCCTTGTCTCGCGTATCCGCCTCTCAGACCGACGAGACGCAAAATCGAAGCTTCTCCGAAGCCACAGATCGTGCGTAAGCGGTCTCTTAACTGGAAATCAAAGTTCACACCGAAAGCAAACTTTAAGTGTGCATTTTATTTCTCCATTATTTAACACTCAGTCTTACGAATCGAGCACGAGTCTCCGTGCGAGTCGAGAAGTGAAGCGAGTTGAAGGTTTAAAAAGAAAAGCGAACATGAGATCGTGTTCCGCGGGAGATATGTCTTCGGTTTATCGCAATTGGTTCCCGCGGAGACGCGGAGGTTCGTTAAGGACCGTCTTTCCAAGCCGTCCTTCACGATTGCTGAAAACTTAATAACCTCGCCGTTCGCGCCGCTGCTGGCGGACAAGCGTAACAAGACGAAAGCGGTTTTCGACAAATTTACGAGACGCATACGGCGGCATTCAGCCGGACTCGCTTACACATAATTACGTGTAGCGCGAATAATAATAAGCCGTGTTCGAGAGAGAAGGATCGCGTATACAACGTTTCGCTCGTGACTTCCCCGGCTGTGTGACGCGCAGTATCTATATGTCACGTTAGCCCTGAGTAAATTTAGCTAAACAAGGCGAAAGAGCTCTCTTTCTCTCTCTCTCTCTCTTTCGCAGCCCTCCGACGCGACATCGTAAGGACGTGGACGAGGCGGACAAAGACGCGTACTAGTAAGCTACTTTTAACGCGTATAAAAATAAACTCTGATACAAAGCGGCTGATTTCGACGTGATTAAACACTCGGATTCGCGCTCGCGTCAACGATTTCGCGGGTCTCGCGCGAAACATCGATGAAAATCACTCACTCTCTTTCTTTTTCTCAGATCACACGGGGAAAAATAATTTGACAGCTGTTGCAACGAAACCATCGTCGTTACTGCACGTTCGTTGCGACAGTGACAAAATTTAGTTGGCATAATCAAATTAGCGAATTAGTCGTAATTGGAGCGGAAACAGTTTTATCGCCGGGATAGATAGGAGAATTCGGCCGAGTGAATTTGTCCTGAGGACACGTTCTTTTGCCATTAGTACAACATAGTGCTCCTCTACATTTATTAAATTTCTCCTTGTTACAGCAAAGTAATTTGTAGATGGAGCAAAATAATTCAGCGAATGGCGATTGATTTGATTTTTAACAAATGATTTCCCTTTGTACATAGCAACTGACAGATTTCGCTGCGACAGCATAAAATTTGATGTGCCAGTAAATTCATTTATTATTTAAATTATTTTATTATCTTATTATTTAAATTATTTTTCTTCGTGTAGAAGAAAATAATAAACGCTGCTCACGCTCTCTTTCTCTCTCTCTCTCTCTCTCTCTCCTCCCTTCCCTTTCTCCTTCCTCCCTATCTCTCTCTCTCTTTCTCTTCCTCACGATAAAAAATTCTCCCCGCGGGGAAACATGTTTCTTTCTACCTGGAAATCTCGCATCGTCCGTTTCATGAAAAACGTACTAATCGTATTACCGTCGAGAGATAATTGCATTATCAATTTATTAGCGACGCGGCGTTATAGATGCCCCGCGTCAGGCCGTATCTGGCGAACGCATCCAGAT